GACGGGATAGAAGGGTCGAGTGGATGGAAGGGTAAAGTGGTGGACGGGATAGATGGGTCAAGTGGATGGAAGGGTAGAGTGGTGGACGGGATAGATGGGTCGAGTGGATAGATACAGGCAATGAGATGAACCAGGAGTTATTGCAAACGTCCATGAAAGTATCATACCAATGAGTATCTCCCATTCACTATTCGAGGCAGCTACCTGAAAAATAAATAATTAAATTGCGTTACCACTAACCTTATGGCACATGTCACGTAAGATACGCAAAATGTTACGTAAAATATGTCACGAATCAATCAAAACGCTTTATTGCAACTTTTCATTTTACTCCCGCAATCACAGTATGTTTTTCAATCTTGCGATAAATAAACTTATTTTATTCACTTTCGAGTAGAGTTTGTTAGATCTCTCTCCCTTGATTAGTCGTGCTCTGACTTAGATCAGCCCAGAGGTTGTTTCAGGGTTCAATCTGTGAGTAAGCTGTGAGTAAGCTGTGCCCTGACTTAGATCAGCCCAGAGGTTGTTTCAGGGTTTAATCTGTGAGTTAGCCATGCCCTGACTTAGATCAGCCCAGAGGTTGTTTCAGGGTTTGATCTGTGAGTTAGCCATGCCCTTACTCAGATTAGCCCAGGAATTTACACACATTTTACCTCGTAGGCCGCTCTGGTTTCTGAGTAGCTAACTCCACCCATGATGAAGACAACTAGGCGTGGCACATCACGTGTCTCGGTAGATGCCTTTCGAATCAAAACCACAGTCAATAAGAATTCACACACAACAAGCTAAGCTACTAATTCTTGGGCTGTGGTGGTAGCGTAATTATGAAATGGCTGCAGCACTGTGACGTAATAAGAGGCATATAAAAATGTTGATAAACTGACCTTTTCTAACTTGGCTGGTGTTGCCCGCCGTGCGCTGGAAAGGAATAAAAAAATAAAGGGTTATTTTAGGGGTAAACGTAAAGCTAATTAGCATGTAGCGTGCAAGGGATGAATATTGGAGAGTAATGATAAAAGGTTTTAAACTACTTTACCTTACAACAGGAGATGGTGCTGAAGAGTATTAAACAAGAGTGGGTTAGTTGCTATGCCATCATCGATATAGACCAAATGCAAAACTCGCACCGATGTGAGGCTTAAGTTGTGAGGCTTAAGTTGTGAGGCTTAATCTGGCATGATTCAAAAGTCTCGAATCACGCCAGATCCCTTTGCTCACAACTTAAGCCTCATGTCGTTGCGAGTTTTGCATTTGGTCTATATCCACTAGATCCTAGGAATACGTTGTGTTGATGATGGT